AATATACTCCTAAGCACTTCAACGATAAAAAAAGGCAGGTGGCACAACAATTCCCAAAACATATCAGGAAATCAAACAACACATCCAAACAAATACCTTGTCAAAATAAATAAATAAATAATAAGTTATGAGAAGATAATCTTATGAATCTAACCAAAATTCAAACAATTAGATCTAGATCTGTTACTACCGCCCACTTGAAATTCTAACAGAATATTCACCTAATAAATTCTAGCTTCCTAAATATCCACATCAATTAGGTTAGCATTGATCATGATGGTCATTTAATGGACACTAGTGTCCCATAGAGTTTCAAATGTTAAGTGTCAAGCGTCCAGTATTTCTCAAAACGCTCAAGATAACAGCTTGAAGATGGTTCTCTAGGCTGTCCCGAGGAAGTTAAATTCGTTTGATGAATGTAGAAGGCAAATCATGATGTTATTCTTACGCATCCAACGCCCAATGAAAAGCTTAAGATTTACTTCAAAACACAGGAGCCCAAAAATGCCAAAAAAATCAACCTGATTATTCAACAGCAGATAGCTAACGATCAGATCTTCTCATATAAGGAAGCTCTTCAGAAAATCAGAATTCTGCTAAAATGATAAAAATACATGCACCGAATCGGGTTAGCCAATCACATAGTCTGCCATCTCCAAGAAATGTACATGTTCAGAGTTCAACCCAATTCCAGCAAGAAGAAGAGGGTATTATCAAGAACTAAGGCTCCATAAAGTAAGGATTCATAATCTTTTCAAACCCTAAATCCTATAAATACCGTTTTAAATATTGCAATATTTCGATCTCCGAATTACCAGGATAAACCAATCAAGCAAAACTCATCATATGTTTGGTTCGTTCTAATTTTTCATAGCAAGCCAGTCAATCTAAGACAATCGAATTGCCCTTTACGCTTCAAATTCAAGCCAAATTACTTCAGTTGAATCCCAACCAATAAGACACGACTACCAATTAAAAACCTTCCCAAAAGTTTAAGCTCAACCATGCAACATCTGTCACCAAGAATGCAAGAGCAAAATAAAAGTCATCATGGGCAAATAACCATGCCTTTGTTTTATAATTAATCAATAATAGTGCTAATGTGGGAGAATTTATGAGAACCCTTACTTCAATCTCTTGTGGCGACCCAATCAAGATTGCACATGTTTTTGACACTAGGCACCAAAAAAAAGGTATCAATTGACACGAATAAGCCCTAAGATGTGAAGTTCAATTCAAGTAGAGTTTGTTTGATCAATTCGAAAGATCCATTCATTTGACCCAATCATCAAGTATCAGCACAATTCATGCCCAAACCTAATGTGTTTACAAGCAACATCAACCAAATGTCACCAATCCACAAGATTATTCTCTTTCCACTGAACTGACTTGGTCGGTCAAAATCAATTTCAATATGAATTGGAAGCTAAGAATTATATATCGATCAATAAGGCATCCAATTTGCCAGTCATCGCAAATCCATCCAAAAAGAATCTTCAATTACAAGATTGCTCTTTACAACAAATGGATATTAGCTTGCCAGAAGACTGTTCATCATAAAGGCACAATCATTCACTGGTCTCAATCAATAGTGTATATTCATAAAGAGATGCAACAACCCAAAAACAAAGATTATCAAAGTTTACAACTAATTTCTTATATAACATCTCATTATCATACATCACAAAATCAAATTACTTAAAACTTTTCCCTTAGTGTATTATGAATGTTTCCCACAATTCTTTCACCTTTACATTACTCCCCAAGTTCGGAACACCTTGATTATGATCGACTAATTATTTATTAAGCTTTACTAAAGCATAACTTCTTTACCTTATCCAATAAACCACAGCATAAAACAAGCGAGCAAGCATAAACACATTCAATCCAAATTGATTAATATTCCATGCAATAACAACTAACAAATTCATTATTTTTCTTTACTTATTTAAATATAATAGTGCATTTTAATTTGTGCAAAATGTCAACTTAAAGATTGTGTCTCAACCAATAGTAGTAATGATAGCCAGGGGAATTCTTTTAAGGGGGCCAAAAATGTCCCTAAATATCATATTAAAAATTTTAATTCAAGAATGTACTTCATAAGATTATTTTTATTTTTATTTTTATTTGAAAAAGATCTAATTCAAACATAATATTAATAATATTTCATTTCAAGACATCAATAAAAATTTTTAATATTTTTAATAGACTAAATTAAACATCAATAATTATTCCATTATTAATGAATAAACATATTGCTTCTTATCCAAGTATTTATACTTATCGTCTATTTTCTATTTAATTAGATTAATAAATCTATTATATTAGAATCTACATATTGACTTAATGCAATCCATTTCTAATTTCTCAATTTAAATGAGTAAGTTTTGCTGATATTTATTTATATTATATGACTGAAAGAAAACTTGTTCATAATTTACCAATTATTTTATTTAATTGGAGTCAAGTAAATTTGATACTAATTTCAAATCTATTAAATTGTTTGGCATTTAGATTTCAAGAATGTTAAGTATTTATTTAATTTTAGCTTAACTGTTAGTTCATTTACGTAATCATTAAATAGATTTCAAAAATTCTTTGTTATATGAGATGTTAAGTATTTATTAAATTTTTAGCTTACCTGTCAGTTCACATTTAAGACTTCAAGAAACCATGTTCATGATTTAACAATTATTTTATTTAATTGGTGTCAAGAAGTTTGATACTAATTTCAAATCTATTAAATTGTTTGCTTACTTAGATTTCAAAAATTCTTTGTTATATGAGATGTTAAGTATTTATTTAAATTTTTAGCTTACCTGTTAGTTCATTTAAGTATTCATTAAATTAAGGCAAGCTAATATTAGTCCAAATATGATTATAAAAAATTTAATCAAGCTGAATATGCACAAATATACGTGAAAGCTTGACCAAAAAATCAAGCTGAATATGAACTTATAATATGACAAAGCTATGTCCGCTTGATGCTATACTCAACTCAGCTCAGCTATAGCCCTATGCATGACTTAGCCTATTCAGATCATCAAATTTCTTCCTTCCACCAGGCAAGCTTATGTATGGTTTATAAAAATAGAACTTCGGAAACACTAATATCATTGTATCTGCTACAAATTTGAAAACAATAAAGAATTGACAACTATGTACAAGTTAATATCATATTCCATACAATTGGTCTCAAGTTCATGGTTTTTTTCACCTGGATCTAAGTTAATAAGAAAATAGAGCTCAAAAAATTTAATGGCTTCCAAAATACACCTACTAAAGTAGCATCTAACCAAAGTTGCATCCTGTAAATAACAAGATAAACCATAGAACATGAAAATTTTAATTTAGAAGTGGCTTTTTCTCATAAATAGTGGATGATAATAAGATGAAAAAATGGATCATTTTTAGGTTTCCTGATGATTATGATGATATAATATTAGGTATTCTATAACCTAATGGTTGATTTATATATTTGCAAATGTATTTCAACATATTTAGATCGTAATTATGGTAACATGAAAAAGAAACATAATTTTATTTTTGAAGAATCATTAGAATATAATTCAAATGTTTATAAGAAATAAAACTGGGTTTACACATTTTCTGAATGGCATATATAAAATTTAAGCTACATGCACACTTGATTGCAAACACATCTGTAATTTGAAATTTGGAATTTGGAATTTTTCTTTAATTAAATTAATAAAGCTGGTATTCTATCTCTAATAATTTAATTATATTTAAAAAAATTGTTGAATCAACCAAAAAGTAATTTTAAATAAAAACAATAATATGCCTCTATAAGAAACATGAGGGTTTTAATTTTCTTCATAACTACTTTCAGCTGTATGAAAAATGTCATCATCAAAAGCTTGTTAGCCATGGCTTTCAACAATGCTACCTTCTCTAAAAACTTTCAACCATAAAAAGTAGAAACTTTTCAACAGTCCTCACCCACTAATGATGAAATAAATATATAAAAATGAACGCTACAATGTCAATGAGGTTGGACTTTCATCAATAAACAAGAAATAAAATGGTAGGCATTTAGGAGACACAATTCAAAGTGTAAGTTAGCCCCTAAAGAAGAGATAATGCAAATCAAGGCCAAATAAATAATAGAGAAAATCAAAACAGCTCAATCTTAGTTGATTCACCTTATTATCTCTCCCTAATCAAAACGAAGAAAATAATAAGTAACCAAATCTCACAAGTGTCAATAAAAATTTACTCAATTACTAACACTTGCTCCATATCATATAATCCTTATAGGAAAACGTCTACAATATTGAAGATAACAAAAGTTAATGATATTAACACCATCCACTTAGCTTAATTATTGCATCTTACTACCTCAAAACATGGTCTATGTAATGCCAACCTTCAAAACAAAGTTTGCTTATATTTTATCTAGTCAATATGATCCCTAAAACAAGTTTATAGCCTAAGATTGGAAGAAAGTAAACAATCAAGAACAAGATTATGTAAGCCCGTCATAGAAAATTCTAATTTTACCATAAAAAATAATGCTTCTTAACAAGTTAATGTTTTGGATAATCTATGGTCATATTATGGCTATCTGATAATAAGTATAAAGAAATCAATACTATCACTATAGATAGATGATTACCCCACATATGATAGTAATTCATCATCTAACAAGAAAAGATAAGAATTTAATATGGCCCGTGGCTTAATTTAAAAAAAGTATAATAAACAAAAAAAAAATTACCCAAACAAAGATAAATTATAACCAAACTAATCAAAAATTGCATCAGCAAGGTAACATTAAAAATCTTCAAGGTAAGGATGGGAAAAACAAAACTAAGGTATATTGGAAAAAAAATCAAATGGAAGTATTATGGTTCTCTGAACTTCCTGATAAGCATCGAACTAAACAGTTTGCCAAATAAAAAAATTTCTAATTTCAGAAAAATATCAGACAGTATGTTCAAAAGTGCTATAATGCATTAATTTTGTGAACAGCTTACTCATGTTGTCATTAGCAAATGCACTGCTCCATTCTGGCAAGTATTGTCTCGCTTTACCATTCCAATCCTCCTCAAAATTCACAAGCTCATCTGGCACCAAGTTCATATAAATAACATGCAAAGTCAATATTAAAGAATAAGCCAAAAAAAAGGCCAGTCAAGAGAAAACTTATCCATCCGACATACCTTCGTTCAAGTTATGCAGTGTTTGAACCGTATCTACCCTCCCATCAGAATTCAGATTTCTTGTAACTGAATGACCCTGCAAGATCAATGCCAATTGCCTAGTTAATTGTCACCAAAGCACCAACTTAGAATACAAATTCTCTACAGTTGCATCTAAGAATCTGCATAAAGCTTGTATTTGTAGATTTGAAAAGTAATTAAACATGAAATTATGCTCAAGATTAATGGCTTGAGACATACCTTCCCATGTATTCCTTTGGATATCCTGTGACTGGCTTTACGAGTGCTTAAGTCAGCTTCTTTGTTCTCCTCCATGACCACCTAGTTTGAAGATATGATTTGTGAGTGTTCACATAAAAATACATCACTGAAACATCCGATTATTCATTCAAAACATAAAAGAACTCTCCAAACTGAGAGTCATTTCGCTTACTCCATCACCACCGGCTCTCCTTGTGGTAGAAGAAGTGTAATAAGTTCCACTAGGACCACCATAAGAGACTGTAGAGCTTTGAAAGAAGTAAGAACCATTTTGTTGGTGTTTTGCATTAGACCTGTTGAACTCATTGATGTTGTGCAACTGTTTCTTCTTTCTCCCTAAAAAACATTTCTTTTAATAAAAAACCAATGATTCTTTACAAAGTACAGGTATCAAATCAGTCTATTAACAAGCACCATCTCCCGCATAAATACCTTCCACATCATCGTCGGGTTCCTCAACATATGGATTCTTGTCAGGCCTCAAATGTTTTCTGGGGTTGACCTTTTTCTCAAAATCAGTCTTTTGTTCCCCTTCCTCCTCTTCATCATCTGAAGTCAGTTCTTTGATTATCGGTCCCCCTGATCTCTTCGGTGGCAAATTCTCGTGTTCCAGAAATCCACCATGTGTGGCACGGTTGGTTGTTCCAAAGATACTCCCTCCAGCACCAAAAAGGTCATGCCCCATCATGCTACCAAATGGCCGAGTAAAGAAGGGATCATCAAAGGGGTTCGCCCCCCCAAAGAAGCTTGAAATTAGGCTTTCTGGCCTCCCGAATCCACCGAATCCACCAAATCCAGAGGGAAAACCCCCAAACCCAAAAAAATCATCCCTCCCACCTCTGCCCCCTTGCATCGTCACCGCCTAGAAACCTAAAAATTGGCAAAAGTTTAAAACAAACGAAACAAACTCGTGGCTATAAATCCATACAAGAAGAGGGTAGCGATTATGCAAGTCTAGAAACAGAACAGCAAATTGATGAAGAAAAAGATACCAAAACATCCGTAAAGCCAGTATCAATATAAAAATTAATCACCGAAAGAAAACCCTAGGCCAGTTCTCAAAAAGGAAAATAAGATTGAAGGATTACCTAACAGATCGTATGTAGGATGATTGAGAAGGAAGCTTAACAAAATGAGAGGAAACAATCTATGTTCAGGAAAATGAGAAGTGACGATCGATTATCAAGACGGTAAATTTGCCGAAGAAAGAAGTTTTTGGGGTGGAGAAGCAGAAATTGCGATAAATAATTTTCGGTAAGTCGGCATACCGGTATGATAACTCGCGGTAGATTCTAGAATCTTCAAAGCATGCCAACAAGCAACAACAACTTGCTCCTTTTTAAACGAGTCGGGCTTCGATTAGCTTAATTAAACATTTTATTGCTCAGTTTGAAATAGCTTATTAATAATTTATTCATAATTAACTCGATCCAGGCTCATTTATTCGTCCGGAATAAGCATATATTCAACTCGAAATTATAATTTATTTAAATTTAATAAAATAGCTAAATTATAAAATCAATCTTTAATTTCATAATATGGAATCATAAGTGAGATTATCTATATAGACGTTGCTATTGATTGTTTATGTTTCATAAGATAATTCGTTTTTTTGAATGCACGATGTGGGATTAAATGAGGGAGTGGTAACAGCTGGACCACGAGGCTGCTAAGGTGTGAAGATTTTGCGAGCATTTACATACATGCCAAGTATTTAAATATAACTAATTCTTACAGAGTAATATGTCTAATATAAAAATTTTTACATTTATGTTTATAATTTTTTAAGGTGATGAATATGCATAGAATTGTAGGGATGTCTAAAAAACTTGTTGTTCGTGAATAGCTCATGTTCGGCTCGTTGAGTAACTCGTGTTTAATTCGTTCATTAAGCAAAAGGGTCAAACATGAACAAATTTTTTTAGCTCGATTTATAGAGGAGAAGAGCACGAACAAAGGTTTGTTTGCTCTTATTTGGCTCGATCTGACTTGAATTAATTAAATAAAAAAAAAAATAATATTACTATAATATTTTATATTAATTTTTTTTATTATATTTTATAAATATTAGATGTTATTAATTCTTAAATAATTTTAGCTAGGATTATAATGGAAATATTTTTTTATGTTAGATATGTAAATACAAAGGAATTCGTTAGTATTTATGTAAATGGTGTGTTTGAGCGGCTGCTGCTTTTTTAAAAAATTGTTTTAAAAATACTTCCTGGAGAAGCAGTTTGCAGGAGCTCTCAGAAAGTATCTGTTTGACATATATGTTTTCTTGTTGTTGTTTCAGATGAGAAAGACTGTTTTGCTCTTATATATATAATATATTCAAATAAATGTATTCTTAAGAATATTCATAATTAAATAACAGAAAGATGTCATACTACTGAAAAAACTAATAGTTCAGTCAAAAATACTTTAATACATAAAAAGGATAAATCATTTGAAGCAAATGATTACAATAATGAGGACAACCACTGCAATCAGCAAGTCTAAAATGATATTTATCTTGAAGTCCTGATGATCAAGTCATCGGGACAATCTGCTTCCCATGCCAACATCTCTCCACAACTGACCAAGGTCTGGAGAGACTTCGTCAGTGTTATCAACCCAATGGAAAACATCACCATTTGCAGATTCCTATTTCTAAGATAAGAATAAAATCTTCTCATGTAGTTGTCTTTGCTTCTAGACCAGTACTTAACACACCTATCATCATAATAACTGAGTGAAACTTTCGAAGTGCTTGATGAATTATTATTATTATATTGTATTGCCTTAATTAAAAAAATTAAGTTGATCGAACATTAGAATTTTTTTAAAAAAATGTAAATAGTCTTAAAATTAGGAATTAAAGTTTATCGGTACGCAAAAAGAAAGGAACAATACATATTGTTATATATATTTTGAAAAAATACATCCAACATAGAGATGAAATATAAACAATCAACTACAAATAACTAGGTGATGTTATATAAGTTGAGTCGTTGCATTCTCTAAAGCATTAATAATCTCCTCTCTTAATTGTAACATCTCCTCGTGCATTCTCCCCTCGAACTGCTCTACTTGTTTGTCCAAATGTCTTTTTCTTGCACCGAAGGTCCGACTTGATGTTGGATTGTTTCCTCAGGCATGTAGGTAGGTTCATCATCTAAGACCCTGAAATCGTATCATCTTGTGATGGATGCCTCTGTATAAAAGCATGGAGTGCGGTCGTTGCAAAAACTATCTTCACCTATTTTTCTATAGAACATGTAGGCATATCTCAAAGTATAACTCACTTTTTCTTCCATACACCAAATGCTTGTATATATTTCATTTTATTGTTTCAATTGGTTGATCAGAATAGGTAAAGATGATGCTAATCTATCCATCATGTAAGCTTCAACTTTGCAACAAAGCATATGTAATTTCATTTATAAAAGTCTCAAAAAAAAAAAAAAGAGTGCTCAAAATTCTCCCCTCAAAATATAACTTTACATTGAGGAGGAGCAATATCAAGCAATTTGATAAACAAAATTTCTTAAAGAAACTATAAAACAGTGCGCATATAGCTATAAAAAAAATAAACAAAAAATATTGAAATAAACAAATTAACAATGTTCATATATATTCCATTCCATTGCTTCTTCTAGCTGATCATAATAGATAAAAATTTTGCTAATTTATCTATCATGCAAGCTTCAACTTTGCAACAAAGCATATGCAATTTTATTTATAAAAGTCTAAGAAAACTTAAAAAAGGAAATAGTGTTTAACATTCTCTCCTCAAAATGTTACTCTTCACAGAGGAGGAGGCAAGAGCAAGCAACTTGACCAAAAATTTTTCTCAGAGAAATTGTAAAATAGTGCTCATATAGTGATGAAAAAAAAATAAACAAAAAATTCTCAGTGAAACAGATGAAAAATACTCATTAATATTTTATTTCAGAGCTTCTACTGGTTGGTCAAAATATGTAAAAATGTTGGTAACTTCTCCATTATGAAAAGTTCAACTTTGCATCAACAATATGTGATTATTAATATTTTATTTCAGAGCTTCTACTGGTTGGTCAAGATAGGTAAAAATGTTGGTAACTTATCCATTATGAAAACTTCAACTTTGCATCAACAATATGCGATTCACTTATAAAATTTTCAAAAAAATGTTATCCATGATGCAGTGTTCAATCTTCTTCGCAAAATTGTTAATTTACACTGAGAAGGAGGCAAGAGCAAATAAATTAATCAATTGAATTTCTCAAAGAAACTATAAAATAATGTTCATATATCCAAGCAGAAAAACACAAAAAAACTTATTAAAGAAATGGATGAATAATGCTTACATATATTTTATTTCATAACTCATAATGGTTGATTGGGATAAATATAGATGCTACTAACTTATTTATCATGCAAACCTCAACTTTGCAACAAATCACATGCAATTTCATTTATAAAAGTATTAGAAAAACTGAAAATAGGACGCAATGTTCAACATCTCCCCATAAAATGATACTCTACACTGAGGAGGCAGTAGCAAGCAAACCGACTAAGTAAAATCAGTGTATGCATATGTCGTAAGAGTTCACGAAGAATTCTTAAAGAAATAGATGTACAATGCTTATGTATATTTCATTTCGTATATTATATTGGTTGATCATGATAAGAATGAATGCTGCTAACTTATTCATCATGAAAGTTCAACTTTACATCAAATCATATGCAATTCTATTTTTAAATGTCTCTCAAATACTTAAAAAAATGAACTATTAAAGAAACAGATGAACAGTATTCATATATATTTTATTTTATAGTTTATATTGATTGATCAGAATAGATATGAATGTTGTTAGCCTAAATATCATGCAAACTATAGCTTTGCAAAAAAGCACATGCAATTCCATTTGTAAAAATATTACATATACTTAAAAAAAATTCTTAAGGAAATTGATGATCAATGTTCATATGTTTTGTTTCATAGCTTCTATTGGTTGATCTAGATATATATAGTTGCTGCTAACTTTTCTATCATGCAAACTTCAACTTTAGATCAAGACACAGGCAATTCCATTCATAAAACTATCTCGTATATTTTAAAAAAAATGACATGCTCAACATTCTCCCCCCAAAATGTTACTCAACTCTGTAGATGAGGCAAGTGCAAGCAGATTGACCAACTAACACCAATGCAAGCATATCTGAAATAAGTCCACAACAAATTCTTAAAGAAATTAATGTGCAATGCTCATATATATTTCATCCCATTAACTCTACTGGTTGATTAGGACAACTTTAGATAATGCTAACTTATCTACCTTACAAACTTTAAGTTTGCATTAAAATATATGGAGTCTCATTAGCAAAATATTATAACAAAAAGAAAAAACAAATAGATCTCAGAAATCTCCTCCTAAATTGTTCATCTACAGATACACACTGAAAGGTTAAGCAAATCGACCATCAAACATCACTTGATGCATATGCAGAACACATACAAAAAAGATTTCATAGAAGAAAAAAGAGAAACATGGAGGTAGACAACAAAAAACCTTAAAAAAATCCATAAAGAAGAAAACTTCACAGGAGGTGGACAACAAATCAACTACGCTGACAGTAAAGGGAGGGGAGCGAAACAGGTTTCATCGCTAAAAACACAGGTGACAGTCGAGGAGAGGGTGAGTATATGTGAGGATATGGGAGTGGGATTACCGAAAATTTGAAAGAATGTGAGGATATGGGAGTGAGATTACCAAAAATTTGAAAGAATAGCGATGTCACACACACACACACACACACCTGTTTCAACGTTCGACGAAATGCGAACCCCATTCGCGAAATGCACGAGAATAAAAGGTTCCCAATCGCGACTTCTCCGATTTTGAAACTAGAAAGCTACAAAAAATGGACTCCCAAACGCGACCTAATTCTTATGCATTTATATATTTAACGCCTAAGTTTTTATATTTATAGCATTCAAATATTTAATATGGCATCAAAACTTATTACTTAGACCTTTTTAAAATGAAATTCATCATTTTCATCTATACATTTATGATACCAATTTATATAAATATAAATTTATAGGGGTTAGATATGTAAATGCCTATAAATTGTGTTGTATACAAGTAAATTTTTAAAAGAATTATGTGGTATGAATGTAAATTTTTCAAAAAAAGAAAAAAAAAATTATAAGGGTATTTAATACTTATGGGAGAGAGTTTCTGCT